CTAAGTTATCCAGGTGTGGTTGAATTGACAACTCAACTGCTAATACTCAAGAATATTCTTTGGCTCCCCTTGTGTCGAATCAATAAATTTGGGTTGAATACTTTACCCTCGAAAGCTGTTGCGATCCCCTACACTTGAGGGAGCGACTAGCAGCGAGAACTCCGGCCACCAGAAGAACCAGAACGGGATGGGCGGTGAGCCGACCGGCCCAACAGGCAGAGGGGGGGTGCTCATGGCGACGGGGCCATGGGCCCGGGACCGGGGGGGGGGGACCACGACCAGGGGCGTCAGGATCACCCAGGCCGGCGTCTGGCGGCGGAGGAGGGCTCGGAAGACGATAGTCCTCGGTCTCCTCGACGTGGATGGAGACTGGGAAGCGGATGAGCGACCTCCCGAATCGGAAGACGTGATCCGGGTCGGCGCGATGATCAATCCCGCCGCACACTGGCAAGAGGAGCTCAGACGAGCGCGAAATCCAGTCGGGGTTGGCGGTCCAAGCCAACAGCCGAAATTCCGACATGTCCTGGTCGGAGCTTGTCTCAGGCGCCAAGTTGTCGATGAGGCAGAAGGGTGTGAGGATGAATTCGGCGGCGGAGCAAGACCAGGCATGGTCGAGGATGCCGTGGATGGAGATGCGCACACAAAAACGAGCGGTCATCGGCTCACCGCCGGCGAGGTGGCTCCAGGGGGTAAACACCAGCCGGAAGTGAGGGGCGTGGAGGCTACCAGCCGCCACCCGGGAACGGTCCTCCCTGGTCCGGAAGCAGATGAGAAAGTCATCGGGGAAGTGGCGGTGCACGGAGAACGCGCAACGGTTGAGGTTGAAACGCTCCATGAGCGCCACGGAGACCTCCTCAACGAAGATGCCACCATGGTTGCCAGCCACGGTAGCCACGAGCGCAGACTGTAGCTCCAGCTCGGCCACCGTCATCTCCTCACTCCAGGGGAGGTAACAGATCTCCGCCGCGGGCCGCGGGAAGGGATGGCCGGACATCGGGAGGCAGCTGCCATGGACGGACCGGACCGCGCTACCAGGGGGAGGACGATGCCGGCGGGAGACTCGCGGCGAAGCCGTGGGCAGAGAGGCGGACGCCGAGGTCATAGGCGAGGCCGGCACGGACCGAGCCCCGGAGGACGCGGGGCCCGATGGTCCGGCAATGCTCGCCGCAGAAGACCCGGGGGAGTGGGCGCAGAGCCGTTTGTGAGGCGGCGAACCAGAGGGGTGGGGGTGCGGCGCGGTGCAGAACCGAGCGACATGGCCATAGTGACGGCAACGCCGGCAGCGCACATCGCGACGGCACTCTGCAGGGCGGTGGTCGAGGGAGGGGCTGAGACAGCGCGGGCACTCAGCCGGCCGCGGGGAGGCGGGATCTCGACGGAGGGCGGTGCGGTCGCGGCGAGGAGGACGCGGACGCGCGCGAGGACGGCGGTCGCGGCCCCCGCCACGGACCTCAGTCCAGCCCGCCGGCAGATCCAGAGGCTCCTCCGCCGGAGATACCCGGTGGATCTCGAAGCGTGGATGCGGACAGGCGGCCGGAGGGGAAGGCGACAGGGGCAGGGCCGCCGCTTGGGCGTAGGAGGCGGGGCGGGGCGAGGCCGGGGAGCCGGCCGGGCTGGCATCGCGCCAGCGAAGCTCCCGGGTCCGCCCGTGTCCAGGAAAGGGGGAGGGAGAGTCCATGTGTTGATAATATATTGAGTCATCTATTTTGAAACGGAGGGAGTACTTTGCATAACACCCTTGACAAATGACAACTACCTTTACCCCATCGTATGTGGCACATGATTTTTCCCATTGATAGCTCACATCCACCGTGGGGTGACACACCATCTTGATTCAAAAGTCCGTGTTCCACAACTTCAAAGTGCATGCCCTTTTTTTCCGTATTCTCTGACAAGGGTCTGTAGTACAACTAAAAAAGGTTGTACGGGATTTGTGCAACATTACTAGCTCGTGCTCCCTCCGGGCTCCGGTTCCTTTTACTCCATACAGAAATTTTTTTAAAGTCAAACTTTGTAACGTTTGACCATATTTATATAGAAAATAGCAACATCTACAATACAAAAAATACACAATATTAAAATTAAATTCATGACACATTTAAGGATATTGTTTTTGTATTGTGAATGTTGATATATTTTTTCTATAAAGTTGATCAAATTTTACAAAGTTTAACTTCAGAAAAATCTTATATGCGGACAAATCTTGTATGTGTACTATTGATTTCTAAGTATTATAAGTACCAACTGGTATGTTTGTAGTAGTATTTCCCATACTGAAGTTTGTTTTGAATTGTTTTAATACTGAGGTTAGTTAGTACTTTACTACTATATTACTAACTGTGATGGTCGAAATACTTAGAGCATCTATAGCCACGGAAATCAAATTCGGGCCCTTGAACTCCCACAGATGAGCCGGGCTGCATCCGCAGACAGTGACCGGCCAGACCTTAAATTTTCTTTCGCACAACTGGACACTTCAATTAGCGAGTCTCAAATCCATACACTAGTAGAAAAAGGGGCATTTGTCCCAGTTTATAAGGGCCTTTAGTCCCGGTTTTAGAACCGGGACTAAAGAGTCGTTACTAAATCCTCTCGTTTAGTCCCGGTTCTTACACGAATCGGAACTAAAGGCCGTCCACGTGGCCGCTGCTGGAGCTCCACCTTTAGTCCCGGTTGGTAACACACCAACCGGGACTAAAGGTATTTTCATGAAGAAAAAAATTGATTTTTTTTATTTTTTTTAAGTTTTTTTTCGATTTTCAAATGTCTGAATTATTTTCCAATTTAATCTCTAATCACCCCTCATCACTGCTTAATTTAACCTCTAATCTCTAATCACTCATCATCAATCCAAATCATCTAACTTCCCGGCCGATCACCCATTCTCTCACTACTCCAGCCTGAGCACGCTTAACTTTCGGTTCTATTCCCCCTCGTTTCCAAGTCTGCACTTGTTGTTTTCCTAACAATAGTAAGATGTCAATCCTATTAACCCTCAGGAGTTTAGCTTGAGCATGAAGTCACACGTTTCACTGTTTGAGTTTGAAACTATTATTTTAAAAAAAAAATTATTTAGTAACACTAATATTTCTTCAATAAGTAGTTTGACCATAGTTTGACCGCAGTTTGACCATAATTTGACCAGATTTGACCAAAATTTAAAAAATTGAAATAATTATTTAGTAACACTAATATTCTTGAATAATTATGTAGTAACACATATATTTCTTGAATAAGTAGTTTGACCATAGTTTGACCACAGTTTGACCACAGTTTGACCAGTTTTGACCAAAATTCTAAAAAACTGTAATAATTATTTAGTAACACTAATATTATTGAAAAATTATTTAGTAACACTAATACTTCTTGAATAAATAGTTTAACCAAACTTTGACCTGATTTAACCAAAATTCATTTTTTTTAATTTGAGCATAACTTTTTTTCCTTTTAAAATTTGAGGATTCTAAAAATTTGCAAACAGGCCGTAGGCAGTCAAAATCAGATGCGGATTATCGTGCTGAACATTTTGATATATTATACGTTTTTTCTGACATTGTATGCAAAAGTACAACCATTTTACATTTTCCCTACACTTTTTTGCAAAACATGTCCAAATTTAAGTTTTTAAATTTTCCTAACTAGTACATGTAATAGCATAACTACATCGGGAAGGATTTTAATTTTTGAAGTTTTTATAATTTTTGCTTTTTACAAAACTGAAAAGGCGATCCACGGGGCGGGGGGGGGGGAGGTAGAGTTTGAAAATGGGACCTTTAGTACTGGTTCGTGCCACGAACCGATACTAATGCCTCAAACCCCATTAGTACCGTTTGGTGGCTCGAACCGGGACTAAAGGTCTAACCTTTAGTACCGGTTGGTGCCACGAACCGGTACTAATGGGCATCACACCGTTTAGTCCCGTTTCGTGGCACCAACTGGGACTAAAAATCCCATTTGAACCGGGTCTAATGCCTGTACGGTGCCCTAGCCGCAAGAACCGGGACTAATGCTCACATTAGTCCCGGTTCGTAATGCAACCGGGATTAATGCTCTTTTCTAGCCAAACCAAAGCCCTCTTTTCTACTAGTGATACAAACACATGCAACATAACGTAAACTCCAATCCATCCGGCTAAATAAGCACATGCCATCGGACTACCAAAATTTGGCATGTTCTACTTACATACTACTATGGATCATCCACGGCTGGCATTGCCTTTGCCATTCCCGGCGCCCTTGTCGTCTTTCTTGTGGAGCTCGAAAGCACAAAATGGATCTAGTCGGATATGCTCTTCACCGGAGCCCTCATCCTCTCCTTCCCACGGCGGGCACCCTGTAGCATGCATACTCCGTCGGACTGATGATGGGGAGGCTAACGGACGGCGATGCTCCAGCCCGACTAATCTGAGTGCCCGTTGCGCCGACGCAATGGATGCGCACCGGACTGATCGCATCGCTGCTTGGACGTAGTCCTCCCGGGAGCGACGGAGGGCAATGCGGATGGCCATAGTTTCCTCCATCCCGCATGGGATGAAACCCCAGTCGAGTCATATCCATTGTCCGCCATGCCGGAGAAGTCCGGAGCTCGACGAAAGTGAGCATGGGGGCGAAGCCGAGTGGAGTGGAGTGATTGGGGTTTTGTCCGGCGAAAGAATGGGGACGAATATATGTGGGGTCGGGATGGGCCAGCGTGGGCAGATCCGGCGTGGATATGAGGGCTGCCGGTCAGCTCGAGCGTTTGAGGACGGTTTGAGATGCCCAGGTGGGTTGCATATTTTTGATCGGTCAGTGAACGGGCAACCCGCCCGGGCGTTCGGGGATGGTTTATGTGCCCGGTTGTAGATTCTCTTATAACCAAAAAATTATGCCAATGAGGCTTGTTCGACAACAGTCTCTCAATTTCCTTTTTCTCTGCAAATAATGGTTGATACTTATAATAACATTTGCAGACATGTTTGTCGACTACTCATAATAATGCTTGCAGACATGTTTGACGATCGACTAATCGGCGAGAATCTTGCGGGCACGCTGGTTTGCTTGCTTCACCCTGGAGTTGAGTTCTTCCACGTCGCCGTGCATATCATCGAGTGCTTTGTTTTGCCTGAAACGTTGGATAGCACATAAGATACTCAATTCAAAAGTTCTGATTAATCTTTAGTGTGGTTCCAGGCATATGCAGTAGACTAAAGACTTTACCTATCAAGCTCTGATCCCATGTCAACAGCCATGCCCTGGAGCTGCCCCAGCACGCCGCTGAGATCGTCGAGGGCATCATCCTGCTTTTTCTTCTCCAACTGACGAAACGAAAGCACTTCTAAATATGCTTATATTTCGTAGATACATTTCCATGGAGGCCAGTGAGTCAAGAGCATGCACGAACCTGAACTTTGTCCATGGCACTTGTGGCTTCGCCGTACTCGCGGGTATTCCCCTTCCCTCGAGGGCTCAGCCCTAGCTTATCCCTCTGTTCCATTCGGTTCACCTTCTTTTTGAAGGAATCATCTGTGTCATGCCATTGAGTTTTTTGTTTGAGAAGCATGCCATTGAGTTGGTTGCCAAGAAATAATGAGCACGCCTCATGATCCGAGCATTTTCTTAGTTAGTGTACTAATATTAGGTTGTATATGCGTACCTCGCGACACTGGCCCCTTGATCTTCTTTGTTTTCTTGGGCTTCCATGGCTTGGAGAAGAACCCTCCAAGGCTATTAAGGAGACCCTCACCCTAGAGATTCAAACACCACCATCACATGACAACAATCAGGCACCACACATTTCAAACAGGCCTCGGTGTAAGGTGACAACGGCATTTTGTTCAGAGTTTATAAAAACAAATTAAGTAAGTGGTGGAGCATATATATGCACCTTGGTGAGGTCCTGGTCGATCTCGACGGCTTTCTCGTGGGTCCTGCTGATCTGCTCGCCCTGCTTCTGCAGGGTTATCATCGTGTTGGTGGCATCCTCCTTGATGTTCTCAGCGATACGGAGGCAGCCGTTGAGCGTGTCTGTGGTCTCCTCGGCCTTGTACGCCGCGTAGTTCTCGAGCTCCTCCACCGACTGGTTCTCCAGCCCGCCGGAGTCCTTGAACCCGTCCTTGTACTGCTTCTTGTTGCCGGTAGGAACCGAATAGGTGGACGATTTGGTCGGCTTTTTGGAGACGAGACCATCGTCGTCAGAGTCGGAGTCGACGGGACCCGGCTTCTTGGCGCCTCGTGCCACAGGCATCTTGTTGTCAAAGTGAAAATATAGTAATAATAATAATTCTACGCTATTATAAACAAAGGGGCAGGTTCCTGCAAATCAAACATGTGAAGGTCACATTGCCGTTGCAAAAACATGACAAACAATTGCAATTACGAATGGGAAATCATGGTTCATCTCCATTGTCTATCCATAAAATCATCCTTAAAAACTAAGAAAAGACAGTCCTAAAAAGTTTGGCAAGGAAGCAGCATGAACAAAAAGTAGCAAGAGAAAATTGAACTGCTAGAAAAACTAGACATGATGGCATAGGTAAAAATTTCCTCGCAAAAAAGAAAGAAATGAAAGAAGACATAGGTCAAAATTGTCTAGAAGAAGTGTTCGTACGAGATAGATTTTGTCCTCCTGTTCCTCCGCCTTGGAGGGCAAAAGAGGAGGCGAGCAATCTATCTGCCTTTATTGGATAGCTGACAATGAACTATTTTCACCATGTATATATAGTGGTCTATTTGCTAAACGAGATATCTAAAAATGGTAAGTGCTTATTTTAGCTTCAACCTGCGATATGCCCGCGGACCATTGGATGTAGCCGAGCATTGGGGAGGAGGTGGCTGCATGCAAGTCCTATAATGCATGCCTCATTTTTTTATTTTATTTTTGAAGCACTATAATGCATGCCTCATTTGCCATGCTATAAACGCAACAAAACGGAATGACAAGAGCAAATACTCTCTAAACTAACATTTGTGACTTGAGTTAATAGTGAAAGTAGTATTACTGTAGTAACATGCATGGTCGTGGTACTGACTTTTAGTACTGAAATTAGTATTGCAATGTTAACTTTGATGTTCATAATACTGATTTTACCCCCAAAATTAGTAATTGTAGTACTAACTTATATGATTACAGCATCATGTTTAGCATATAAATTAATCATATAGTACTAACTCTTATATTCGTACTACTGATTTTTAAGTACTAAAATTATTATTACACTAATAATGTACATTCTATGCAAGATAGAGGTTCTGCTCTCATAGCATGGGACACTGTTTGTTTGGCTAAGGAGGATGGTGGACTGGGTGTGCTTCATCTGGACACTCATAATCAAGCTCTTCTTATTAAACACCTGCATAAATTCTTCAATAAGCAGGAGCTATCTTGGGTCAAACTTATCTGGGGAAGTTATTATTCTGATGGCCCTCCCCATGGTGACTTAGTGGGCTCATTCTAGTGGAAAAGCATCCTCAACTTCTACCAAAATTCAAAAATGTAGCCAAATGTCAAGTGGAACAGGTGAAAGATCGTGGATGTCGCCTAGAGGGGGAGGGGGGGGGGGTGAATAGGCGCTTTAAAATAATTACGGTTTAGGCTTGAACAAATGCGGAATAAACCTAGCGGTTAATTTGTCAAGCACAAAACCTAGAACAACTAGGCTCACCTATGTGCACCAACAACTTATGCTAAGCAAGATAAGTAACTATGTGATAGCAAGATATATGACAAAGAACAATATGGCTATCACAAAGTAAAGTGCATACGTAAAGGGCTCGGTAAGAGATAACCGAGGCACGCGGAGACGACGATGTATCCCGAAGTTCACACCCTTGCGGATGCTAATCTCCGTTTGGAGCGGTGTGGAGGCACAATGCTCCTCAAGAAGCCACTGGGGCCACCGTAATCTCCTCACGCCCTCGCACAATGCAAGATGCCGTGATTCCACTAAGGGACCCTTGAGGGCGGTCACCGAACCCGTACAAATGGCGACCCTTGGGGGCGGTCACCGAACCCCTACACTTTGGCAACCCTTGGGGGCGGTCACCGGTAACCATCAAATTGCTCGGGGCGATCTCCACAACCTAATTGGAGACCCCGACGCTTGCCCGGAGCTTTACACCACAATGATTGAGCTCCAAGCACCACCAACCGTCTAGGGCGCCAAAGCACCCAAGAGGAACAAGCTCAAGGGCACCAAGCACCCAAGAGTAATAAGTTTCTCAACTTGAAGCTTCCACGTATCACCGTGGAGAACTCAAAACGATGCACCAAATGCAATGGCAAGGGCACACGGAGTGCCCAAGTCCTTCTCTCCCAAATCTCACCGAAGCAACTAATGCTAGGGAGGAAAATGAGAGGAAGAACAAGAAGGAGAACACCAAGAACTCCAAGATCTAGATCCAAGGGGTTCCCCTCACATAGAGGAGAAAGTGATTGGTGGAAACGTGGATCTAGATCTCCTTTCTCTTTTCCCTCAAAAACTAGCAAGAATCCATGGAGGGATTGAGAGATAGCAAGCTCGAAGAAGGTCAACAATGGGGGAAGAACACGAGCTCAAAGGATAAGGTTCATTGGGGAAGAAGACCCCCTTTTAAGGGAGGGGGAAAATCCAACCGTTATGTGCTCAGCCCGCACACGAGCGGTACTACCGCTCGGGCGGAAGAAGCAGGGAAAAGGAGCAACAAAACATAACCTTGGGGCGGTAGTACCGCTTATAAGCAGTACTACCGCTCACCCCAGCGGTACTACCGCTCACCCCAGCGGTACTACCGCTGGAGGAGCAGAACACGGGACCAAAGGAGGCATGGCAGAGCAGAGTACGGCGGCAGTAATGTAGTAGCGGTACTACCGCCCGACCGGAGCGGTACTACTGCTTATAGGCGGTACTACCGCCCAGACGGAGCGGCACTACCGCTTATAGGCGGAACTATCGTGCAACTACTGCTAAACCCGACACGAAAAAGCAAGACCCAAAATCGAGGCGGTAGTAGAGCGGTACTAGAGCGGTACTACCGCTTGACGCTACAAGCGGTACTACCGCTGCCACCGCGGTACTACCGCAGGGAGAAACACAGAACTGCCATAACTTCTTCATATGAGCTCCGAATTGAGCAAACTCAAGCTTGTTGGATACAAGACAACGAGTAGCATCAAAACAGCGAGTAAGAAGAGGCAGAGGAGGTATGCCTAACAGAAAGAGGAGAGAAATCTCCAACAGAGAAGAACCAGCAGAACCTCCAACATCGAAAACATCACAGAAGAAGCATGTGAACTCCGTTTTCGATGAACTCGAGCTTGTCATCAAGATGACCATAAGCTCCAAATCTCACAAAGAGAACCAAACAAGAACCAAGAAATATGATGCAAGGATGCAATGGTTTGAGCTCTCTACGAATGATACGATCAAGTTACTCATCGGGAGCCCCCCTTGATAGTACGACAATCGAACCTAAGACCCGGTCTCCCAACTACCATCATGAGACCGGTAAAAAGGAAAACCTATCAAGGGCAAACCTTTGCCTTGCACATGGTCCACTTGAGCTAGATGATGGCAATCTTGACTCCCTCAAGTTGGACCACCTTTCTTGATTGTGTTGGCTCGATGAAGACTAGTTGATTGCTCCCCCATACTCCACTATGGGTGAGCCACTCTTCCGCACATCTTCACAAGTCCATTGTCACCACAATGGACGGCAAGCTTCAAGCATTTGATCTCTTCGTGATGCTTCACTTGAACTTGCACACCACAACCTAACCCCACAAAGAACTCTCACGAAGATCGCGGGTTAGTTGACAAAGCGTAATTGACAATGCTTACCATACCATGGGATCGCTTGATCCCTCTCGGTACATCTTGTACGCTTTGTGTGTTGATTAACTTGATTCAATATTGACTTAGTCTTGATCAACCTTGAATCTTTCCAACTCTCTTCATTTGGATGATGTCTTGAAGGTAGACATGAATGATCATACAATCTTCTTCTTCAAGACATGCTTGAAATAAGCTCAACACTCACATGACCAATCTTTGGATAATTCCTTAATAGCACCTTGGTCAACTCATAAACTCCTTGAAACCAACACATGGACTTCAAGAAAAGCCTATGGACAAAACCTTTAAATATAACTCAAGGCAACCATTAGTCCATAGAGATTGTCATCAATTACCAAAACCAAACATGGGGGCACCGCATGTTTTTCAACAGGGGAACACAACCCTACTCTAGTTTGATCGCTAGACTGATAGAACTTATGCAAAATTGTTCCCTGAGCTTTTCTTATTTGTGATCTCTGACAACACTTCAGTTCATCAAGCAAGGGAATGTGAAAATCTTGAAATGCTCTTCCACAGACCCCTGTCCATGCAAGGATTCAACCAATTTAACCATCTTAGAGAGTTAATAAATCAGACTCAATCATCTGGCAGTAAGGACAAGTGGATTTATTCCTGGAACTCTCCAGTGTTCTCATCCATTAAGATGTATCATTCCCCAAGAACACCAGTCCCTGTCAATCATATTTTCAAATGCCTTTGGAAAAGTGCAGTGATTCTGAGATACAAATTATTCTTCGGGTTCTTTCTTCACGATATGCTAAACACAAGGAATTTACTACAACGCAAATCATTCCATTTAACCTCTTATACATGTGCATTATGTGCTCAACAATGTTTGGAAACCTCCTACCATCTATTCTGGGACTGCCCCTTTGCCCTTAGCTGTTGGGATACCATCATTGGAGTAAGAAGGAGAAGTACTTATATTGTGACAAACATCCAACTTGCCATGGAAGCCCTCCCACGTGAGATTGCTCTGGATATTGTGATTATGGGTTGTTGGAATATTTGGACGCAACGAAACAATCTGATCTTCGAGCATATTAGGCCCAGTGTGGCCTACTGGAGAATTCTGCTAAAGCAAGACATTTCCATCGCGTGCTACAGATTAAAGGAGAGAAAGAAGATTTTGCTTCAAGATAGAATTCTGAATAAGCTTTGAACTTCCTCATGATGTGGCCTAGAGAAGGAATTGGATAGCTAGTAGAGCTTAGTTTTTGTTTTATTTTTATTTTTGTATATAATTGTTTATATTATATACAGGTCCGACCCGAGCCCCAGATCCAATTCCGCTCCTCGTCTGGGTGGAGAAAACCCTAGCCCTCTCCTCCAATTTCGTCGCCGCCGATTGCCATCCCCTCAACATCCATACCCTGCAATCCACCTTGCCACCAGCGAAACATATCCCAGT